CCCCCCCCCCCCCCCCCAACCCCCAAAAAGAAACGATCTATTGGATGAAAATCATGCATCTAATTGTGAAGCCATTGGTCACGAGATAGCTAACGGGAAACAAAAACTACAAATTGTGCCTATGTTCATCCTTCAAACCATGCGCTATCTAATTAATTCCTTACAAATTAGGTTGTAAAGCATCCTATTATATGTCATCGCGTGAAATTATGATAGATTAAGCTTCATTTGCCTCGTGTAGTGCACACATTTTCTCCTTTTCTTGTATGAATGATGCCTATATTTAGCTGGAATCAGTTCTTTCTGTACTTGCCACAAGATGAAATCAAAATCCTGTAAACAATCTAAGCATATTTAAGTCTTTTGCATGTTTCAATTATTTTGTACAAAAGAGGATAAGGATTTTGCACGTATAATACAAACACAAGCTTTGACATCCACAAGATGATATCATGTAATTGCCAATTCTGGCTTTCCGAGGCATAAATTATCTTAGCTATGTTGCCATATACAAACCTCCTCTAATGAATTATAATTGTCCGCAATCCTCGAATACCTCCTGTCTAGCTTCTTTTGCGAAGCATGTGATTGGGAAGGAGCCCCATAATTTTGAGGAGGAGCATAGTACTGATTAGGTTCTGGATATCCTGCTGGATAAGGATGCTGCACAGGATAATTCTGAGTGTATTGTGAATTTGTTGATTGAGGATGTTCGTGTTGCCACGAATTTGACGAACTGGATGAGAATGATGAAGATTGCCTCCAACTCCCCCCATCCCTAGGACTTGAACTTTTATTTCCCATCAATTCAATTTACCTACAAAATAATCAAAATTCTTAATCTGAGAATCAAACAATTGTCAAAATCAATTACCCCGAATATCTAACAAAAACCAGGGAATCCAAAAAGCTCTTCAGAATAAATTACCCAGAATCCAACACACACAACCCAATTCCAACTACGAACCTACAGATCAAAAGGCAGGGAATCAAACAAACCCTCAAACTAATTTCACAAGAATCGAATAATAAATCCAAGGTCTTGCAGAACAATCTTCTCTCAGATCAAGTCAAACATAGGCCCAAATAATAAAACTACCAAGAAACCAAATTGGGGAGGTTGTAAATGCTTTATTCCTAATATAGATGTAGAATCATTTTCATGCAGTCATATGTATCGGTACACACGAGAAAATTCAACAAAATGTGAATTTAAACAGCCAAGAAAATGAGAAGGCGGCAGAGAAGGCTTCGTACACACTGCGCCATTTTTGTGAAATGGACTAAATCCACAGTTATTTACAGAAGGAGACCAAGGCACGTCAACTGAAATTAAAATTATAAACCCACGGAAATTAAAGAGAAATTAGGTTCAGAAAACACCCAAAAGGGAAGAAACGTGAAGTAATTGATAACATATAGTTTATACAAAAACAGAAATTCAACCTTTACCCAAAAAACTTCAAAAATTTAACAGCATTTTTTAGGTTCCCCAAATTCATATCGCGCACACAAATGATTGTATATAAATGAGTATGAAGAAAAAGAGTACTAAACTGAGCGCCGGCAAACAGATTCGCTGCAGCATTTCGTTTCAGGAATTCAATGGAGATTCAGAATCGATTACAGAAGCNTATATATATATAGATAGATATATATATAATAAATTTTAGATGATAAGAATAAAATAAAAACTTCTTTCAAAGAAATAAAATAAAAATTTATTTTAAAAAATATTTTAAAAACAAAAATAAAATTTATTATAAAAAAACTTCAAAAAAATAAAATAAAAAGATATTTTTAAAAAACGTTCCTTAAAAAATAAAATAAAATAAAATAAAACTTATTTTGAAAAGAGGTTTTTAAAATAAAAAAACTTTCATTTTTGTTTTTAAAATTTATTTTATATATATAATGTAAAGTTAATATTTTATCCATTTTAAAAGTAGTGAAAATTGTAAAAAGAAGTTTGGTGATTATGGTGAAACGTTATATGCAATTGAATGGTTATGGTGAAATAAAATTAAAAATTAGATACTAACTATAAAGTTGAATGGTCATGTTGAAACAAAATCAAATTGGGAGGTTATGGTGACACTAAGTGTAAAGTTGGGTGGTTATTGATGGATTTAACCCGATTTACAATTCTATTTTCATTCTTATCAAATTCTAATATTATTTTTATTAAATTTATTCATTTAAACCTTATATTTTCATGCCATTTTTACATATCCATCCCATCGTAATTTTATCAATCCTTTCATATTTTTATTCACACAATTTTTATATATCCATCCCATCATAATTCATTCATACTCCTTTCATATTTTCAATCATTACCATCAATATATATCATCAAATTTCTTTACTTATTTTGATAAGAAAATCAAGAAAAAAAAAAGATAATACTATTAGAAAACTTAAATTCTTGTTTTGAAAATCTTAATAGAAAAGAGAGTCGTCAATGTTTTCAATTTAAGAAAAGCAAGAAAAAAAAGATAATCCCAACAGAAAACTCAAATAATTCAAAATGAAATTTCTTATTGATACTATTTAAATTCAAAAGGCATATTATCAAATAACACAAATAAAAATCAAGAATCATTTACATACTAAATCCATCAAACCTAAAATAAAAGAAAATTCTTAATTTTTCAAATTATTCTTAATATAGTGTTATGTATGTATATATTTGCTCTAATAATGTCTCCTTTATTATTGTTTTGACTTTAATTGAAGATAATATTTTGTGAATATTAGAATTTTAATTAAACATAAATTCTAAAAAAAATATAAACAGGCTCAAAAGAATTTAATGAAAATAGTGATAAATTTAGATTATTGTATGAGCCCCATTTTGAGAGAAAAATGTATTTTTGGATAGTGATTATTGAAAAATGTGTGGTTAAAAATTAAGAAAAAAAATTATTATTTAATTAAATAATGTATAGTTGAAATGAGTTTCGAGTAAATAATTTTTTTTTAAAATGGGGCTTAAACAACCCCCATATATTGTTTATTTTGTAGATGCCCGGAGGTTTCTTGACTTTTTGAGTGATTGGGAAGTGACTTTTCAATTATTTGTGTTTGTTGGGGGATGAAGAGAGAGTCGAGACGAGATTCGAGATACAAATATTTGTTAATTACACCAACTATCTCTCAAGTTTTAACTTTGAATAATTAGAAAATATTTTGCAAGAAGTTTTATAATTATTGAATTTTTTTTCATTTTTAATACAAAATCCTACATGGTATATTTTAGGGCTGGATATGATCCGATTCGGTTCGATTATAAAGGTAACCAAAATTTTCGAGTATTTAATAAATGGAATCGTCGGATCCAAATATAATTATGGAGCCGTTCGGGTTCAGTTCGATTCGGTTCCATACCAAAATTAATTTTTTTTAACAGATTTTTAATGGTCAACGATAAATGGTCATTGTTGGAGGTCGCGGCTTCGATGGACATTGAGAGGGGAAGTGGAATTCAGCAGTCGGGGATTTCGATTTGGGCATGTAGATGTAAGTTTTCAATTTATCAAATGATTTGAAGTCATTAACTCAGTGGTTACCGAATAAAAGTGTGAAATTAGAAAAAGAATGATAAAAACTTAAAAAGACATACATCTTGGGTTAAGAATGAAATTAATAATAGGACAAAAAAATTAAATTAAAAAAATTGAATTTAGGAATTAAGTTGGGTTGGGCTAGCTAGGCCTGAACTTGATTTGGGAGTTAGAACATTAATCACTAAATTAGTTAATTTGCTAATTTGTTTAGAAAAATTTTAAAAATTTAATTGATTCAATATAAAAAATTTAAAAAATTATTTAAATTCGGTTCTTATTCGATTTTGAGTTTAGAACCGAGAATCGAACGAAACTCGTCGGTTCTCGATTTAGATATTCGTTCGGATATTTAACTTATGAAGAACCACTCGATTCGACTCGATTCGGTTCGAGTTTGGTTCGATTCGAGAGTTTTGTCCAACCCTAATATATTTACATTTACATTCAATTAATTTGGTGTAATATATCTCGTGACTTAGGGTTAACTATAACAGTTATCATTATTTCATTTATCTTACTAACTTCAGAACTCGTTTCAAATACACTACCACGCCAGTCGATCTACCTCGAAAGACCACTACAGTGTGGATTTCAACCATTTGTCATATTCTTACTTTATAACTTTATGCATTTTATTCACTGTTTGCTTTATGCCTTTTTTCTTTTTTTTTTTTATGATGTAAATAAACATATTATATTATTACCATTTATAGTCACTAAAACAATTTATTATAATCATATGAGACTAGCTAACACGTTTTGTTTTAGATTTTATTGTTCTAAATAAAAAGGGTAACGAACAATTTAAAGAATTTAAAAAAAATACACACACATTGCTAAGAAACGTTGAGCGATAACAAATGTATAAAAACACGACAAATGGTCGAAATTCATACTGTGTATTGATCTCTCGTGGTTAGTAGACTAACATGGTGGTATAATGGAAATGAGTTATAAAGTTCAATAAGGTAAATGAAAATGATCAAGGTTTAGTGATATAAATGATACTTGAATTAAAGTTTGATTGAAATTGATGTAATTAACCCAATTTTTATTATATTTCCATTATTTCTTGTTTGGCTTTCTATTCCAAGTTGTATTCTTAATTTATTGTTATCATAATTGATTAGGGTTGACAATCATTGGATTGCGTGCGAATTAATAAAGACACATCCACTAATCAAAACTTGAATAACAATATATCTCAAAATTGGTCAACAATATAAATAATAACACGCAAATTTCCTAATCTTTTATGTGTATGCATAATACATACTCATGGTTACATATACCATGGTTAGTTGGATATTGACAGACTCGCTCTGAAATTTTAAGGGCCTTAAATCAAACTTTATATGGTGCCTCTGATAAATAATTGAAAATAACCCTCCTATGGTTTGGGATACTAGATGCTTTCTAATCCCAAGCCAACACTAGATACCAATGCAACTGGAAACATGGTTGGTAAATTTGAGATTCAACTCGACCACTCGAAAGCAAATGAGAAGTTAGAGGTGCATCAAAGTGCAAGATGGAGTTGGGCTCTTTTAATCCTTTTTATTGCTGTAATTTTGTATTTTATCTCTTTTTAGGGTTGGTAGCGGCTGAAATGCACTTGAATAGTGTTGACACATAAAATGGACAGCCTAATTCAAATGGCCCAAAGAAGGAAATGACCCAAGTGAAGAAGCTCATCTAGAGAGATCAGGGTAAAAGTTCAATCAGAAATGTCATTAAATATGTTTAGATCCCTAATTGACTATTGACTCGACAATTCAACCATTTGACTTTGACTAGAAAATATGGATTGTAACAATTCTTCTCTTGCCAAACCAAAATCCGCAAGTTTAACAATTTTGTGGTCTGCCGTTAAGAGTAAGTTTTCTGGATGGGGTAGAGAAGAAAAGAACATAGTAGATAAATCAAGAAAGTTTTCAGCAGAAGATACAAAAGAACAGGTTACATCTGTTTCATCGTAAAGGAAAGAAATGCACTCAAGAAATAACAAATTAAGTTGCACACATTTCAACAACAAGTGCATCAAATACAGGAGAACCATTATTTTCAGTAATTATATCCATTCATATCGGTATGACTTTAAAATATATTGTCCACCACAGTCGGCACATGTAAAATGTCAGAGATACCTTGTAATGCATTTCACAATCTTGACTGTGGAGACTTCAGCAAGATTCTAGATATCTATGCTTCCTTACTGTAGCACTTCTATTTATTTGTAATCAACTTATATAATAAAAAATATATATAATTTGGCAGTTCAGATTATATGTGTTTTAAAAATCGGCTAATTAATTTCTCTTTCAAGAGCAAAAATTTTATAAAAAGAAAAAAAATCAGACAGTAAAAAGGAAGGATATGTTCTGACAAGACAATATACAACACAGTGATAACATGCACTGTAGAAAAAATTCTCGCTCACTTGAATCATAATGAGAATTCTCTTACTTCAACCTCAAATCAAGAATCGACATCTTACTTTCACTAAGCTATTACGAATTTATTTATAAAATCAAAAGGTGATTCATAGTTCAGTTTTTCATCTTGTTCTCTAAGGGGCACTAATCCTTTAAATCTGGAACCAAAGGGTATCATACCCCTCACAATGACGTTCTCTTTCAGGCCTATCAATTAATCGATCCAACCCCGGAGAGCATTTTTATCATTATTTATTTACTAGTTCAAGGTCAATTTCTAATCTTAGAAAATGAACATCACTGAGTCCACAATCCCAAGAACAAGCTGCTAGGAATTAAAAAACTTAAAAGATTAAGGGTGTGTCTGGAAGTGATTTTTGTAAGGAAGAATCAATTTTTCGGTCACATCGTGCGGGGCCCACTGACAGGGAAGAAGATGCACGTTATCTACACAATTTGAAGATGAATTATCATATTATCCTTGCAAATTTCACCCCTCTCACCCTAAACAATATTACAAGTTTGGAAAGAATCCTTTGAAAGACTCATTTGATGGCCCACCACCATTTTGCATCTTTTTGATAATTCAACGTGCTCATTAAACCCAAATAAAGTGCTAATATTTTTTTCATTTTCCAATTTCTCAAAGCACTACTATAATTTGGGCACTCAAGAATATCAAACCAAAATGGGTGAATTGGTTTTTGATAATCCAATAATATCTTCAAATTGCATTTCATTGCTTGTTCTTCAACCGATTTCGTTTTCGTCTATTAATGCTTAAAAATATATATTAACGAAACACTGAAAACACATAAATTTTTAGCTCACATAAATGTATCTTTCGACTAATCAACACAATATATTACTTTAATACAAGTTACAGCAAGTCAACATAATTCTGATACACGTAATAGTAATTTCAATTGTTTTGCTCACAATTATTGTAGGATAATGACGTCCTTATACAAACATCTAGCTTACTGACTTTGAGCCAAGTAATCTCGAAAACGATCCCACTCATTGCGTTACATTTCTAGTGCATTCATTTTAGCTGCGGCTTCTTCCTGTTCATCTGAAAGTTCTACCTCCACCGCGTCCTGATCCGTCTCTGCAGTTGCGAACGCCTCGTCGACATCTTCGGCCTGTCGAAGGAAGTTGTGCATACCTATAGTAGCTATGACAACGGCAATCTGCACGTTGAAATTGTAACTTGGCATACGATCAAGAATTGTGCACCGATTTTTCCACACCCCAAATGCACATTCTATTACATTCTTGCATGACGAGTGCCTGAAGTTAAAATTTCTCACGTGCGTTTCGAAAGTCCAGTCTCTGACCCATTTGACCATCGTAAAACTGTCGAAAATGATACAATAGATGATCCCTTATACGAAGCCATGTACCCAGGTCTATGTGCTAATCCAGAGTCGACAAGATAATATTTACCTTGCCCAGGATGCGGAAAATCAATTTCATGACTATGTATAGCCCGTGCTAGTATGTGTGAATCGTGCGTGGTCCCCGCCCACCCGGCATGCACAAATGTGAAACATAAACTGAAATCACATATGGCAAGAACATTTTGCATTGGGATGCCCTTGCGTCCGATAAAATTAACTCGTTCGTCCCGCGACATTACAGCTTTGACATGCATTCCGTCAATTGCACCTATACAATCTCGAAATAACGGATGCTTGTTGATATTTGATACGTGATGCTCAGCACCGTGATTATAGTTCGGATCAGGTCTTATTACACACTCACTAAATTCCACGACGGCTTCAAGCACCTTCTTGAACTAATGTCCAACTGTTTCCAAAGAATGGTTGAATAGCGTTTGCACATGTCTGTACCCTTTTCATGCGCTAATGTGCACAGAATCATCCTAACTTGTTCATACACGTCTACGTGCTGGCCACTACGTATTCATCGCGGAGTATATGTGTGAATGCCCACAACGTTGCGGGATACATCCGAAATTCTGTATTAACACTTCTTGGGACTATATTTCATGGCATCCAACATGAACATGTGTCAATTTCTTGCAAATGGGAATCTCGTAACTCGATTTCTCTGTTCGCGATAGTATGTAGCCACGTCTATTTCTCCTTGTCGACAGTATCGAAACCATTCGACGATGTCATCTTGCGGTTGTTGCACAAATTCCTCTTCGTCAATTTCGACTTCATCATCGGAGCAAGGCATGAGGCCACAATGAAAAGGAGAACAGGTCATTCCACTTCGTAATATTACTAATAATGCTCTAAGCAGTTTGAGATGAAGGAGCAGGAAGAGGAAACCTACTCACAACTCTTCCAATACTTACTTTGTTTAAGATATTGGTTGAACGTTTCCTTTTATAGACCGTGCTACGTATTTTATGGCAAAAGTACAAGTCATGGCACAAATGAATGACATGAAAAACTGGACCCAGTTTGACTAAAAATCAAATTATTGACAGTAGTGATTGTAAGGAATCTTGTAGGCCATTATGACTCTACAAAGATTCTTTGAAAACAAATCCATCCAACAGCAGTTAGTCCGCATGCAATCACAAAACTTTTTGAAAATATGGACAGGAAATCTATTTGTACAGATATATGTGCAAAACATAAATATTACGAGTACAGAAAAAAACTGTTTTCATGGAAAATCCTGCAACAAGATATAAAAAATAAAAAAAGTACAACACGTCAATTTGCCCTCCTCATTACACGCCTCACCAACCCACTCCATTCCTCTCCCCCAACCACTTTCCCTTCCTGCCTTCCACAGAAATCTCTGCTGCCCAACTGCAATTATGGCACAACCGATAGCAGGTTCTCCCTCCCAGATCCGATTCACCAAGTGACACCCCTTCCGTTAATAGTGTTCTCCAGCGAAATGTTGAGAGATCCTTCCCTCCGAGAGTAAAAAAAGTACTCCACGAACAACGCATCCAGACGGAGTCCAACCGGTTTTGTTGCCAAGGAGAAACCGGTCTCACACCATGGATCCACGGTTGTCATCGGTAAGGGTTGATTTTTTTTTATTTGTAACATTTTCCCATTTTTGCTGATTACCGAACCACCGTCTCCAAAAAAAATTTTGATTGCAAACTGATGTTTTGTGGCTTCTCATCGCAGATGGGTTACAATGGTTCCTCGTCCACCTCCAACCCTCCTCCAAGCCAACCCAAGCACCAGTCCGAAAAAACGCCATTTGGACCAAACGCGATAACCAAATTTTCATGGCCGCTTGCGAGACGGTGATAGCCGACGGTCACCATAACAGAAAGTGATTCACGAAACACGGCTGGGACCAAGTGATCCAGTTCTTCAACACCAACTCCGAGCACGTCTAGACAAAGCAACAGTTGAAGAATCATTGGGATTCTCTCCGTCAAAAGCATAAAAGATTCACGAAGCTGTTGAATTGCAGTGGTGTCGAGTATAACTCTGCAACGGAAATAATTGATGCCTCCAACGAGTGGTGGGAGCGAAAGATTAAGGTAATTGGAATTTTTGCCTGTACCAACTTTTTTGAACGATTTTTCGAATTTCTTACAATGACAATAGGGCAGAATCTTTGTAGAGAGTTGGCGTTAGAGTATTAGAAATAGGGCAGAATCTGTAATGAGTTTCGTGACTATTGAAATGCTCGAATGTTCAAAGTGTTTATCTCATATTATTCACCATGGGTTAAAGTGAAACTGGGTCCAGTTCTGCTTGTTAATCCTCGTTCATTCATTTTTTTTTTAACCAGTCAATTCCACCCTTGTCAATTTAGAGATCCTGAAAACTGATAAATACAAAAATTGACTTAACTATTTGAATCACAAACTTGCTCTGATGATACTGAATGATGGAGAAAGATCTTGGTTTGAACGTTATAGATAGTAGCTAGGTACCTGGGATTTTTTTAATAAGATAAATATTCAGCATATAAAACTAGCCATTGCCAAGTCCTTGAAAATTATCCAACGATTTGGTGATAAATGGAATCAGTAGACAAGAAAATGTACAAGGAGAAACTGGATAGTAATGCTCGGCTGATGGTCGATTCACAAATTTCTTCCTAGGCACAAGCAGAGTGTCCATACTGGAGAACTCAAGAGAGAATAGTCCAAACCTTTTTTTTTTCTTTTTGCTTTGTATTTTTCCATATGAACTGGAGCAAAACAGTTCTTCCAGTTCAATTGAACTTTACTTATATCTCTAATTTTTCTTAGCTAATGGAATGGCCTGCAAGTTGAGATGTTTCTGGCTTCGCTGAGCCTTTTGGTGTAATTATTGTACGTTCATCCCCTTAATCTAAAATATATTGGTAATCAAATAAATGCCAAAAGTTCAAGACTTCATATGTTTGAAATTCGTAAATAATGTGCAGCTGCCTGCATATAACACCGTGGTTTATTAGTGTAACCAATCTTCTTTAATCAAGTTGTGGTTTATGCTATGCACATATATTCATTTTTTGCACGTCGAACAGGAGAACAAGGAGTACAAAGAATTCAGAGACAAAGACTGCAGAGAGGTATACAGCTACAACATGTTCGGGGAGGCATTCGACAGTGATAAGTATGCGATAACGCCATCCCAAATGTGCCGTACAAGATTCGCGATGTTTGAGGATAATGGTTACGAAAACCTGCGCGACGCTCATCCGGAAGGCGAGGAGAGGAGATCAAGTGATGAGAAAGACAAAGATGGTCGAACAGGAACCAGCATGGACGTCTCCAGGCCACGAAGTGGAGACAAGTGGTGACCTGGCAGCAAGAACACAAGTGAGAAGAGAGCAAAAAAAGGAGCTAGAGCTGTGTCATACTCTGTTGACCACACCGCCTCTGCCAGTCGTGAAGCAGCCGAAAAAATTGAGAATTTGGTTGGTCTTGCCTTGACTCCTGTAAAGACAATTTTGGAGGAGTTGTTGGCGACGGGCAGACCGCATAAAAAAATTGATTTGTACTACTGGACTTGCAAGTTTCTGAGCAGAAGGGCTAATAGGGAGATTGTTGATGCGCGGACAACGCAGTTGCAAAAATGAACTGGGTTGAGTGGTGTTGGAAAGATGATATGAAGAGACGATCGGAATGACGACTGTAAGAGGAAAAAACAGTAGGGCTGGTGTATTTGAACAGTCCCAGAAATTGACGTGTTGTACTTTTTTTATTTTTTATATCTTGTTGCGGGATTTTCCATGAAAACAGTTTTTTTCTGTACTCGTAATATTTATTTTCTACACATATATCTGTACAAATAGATTTCCTATCCATATTTTCAAAAAGTTTTGTGATTGCATGTGGACTAACTATTGTTGGATGGATTTGTTTTCAAAGAATCTTTATAGAGTCATAATGGCCTACAAGATTCCTTACAATCACTATTGTCAATAATTTGGTTTTTAATCAAACTGGGTCCAGTTTTTCATGTCATTCATTTGTGCCATGATTTCTACTTTTGCCATAAAATACGTAGCACGGTCTATGACTCTATATAAGGAAACGTTTAATCAATATCTTAAACAAAGTAAGTATTGGAAGAGTTGTGCGCAGGTTTCCTCTTCCTGCTCCTTCATCTCAAACTGCTTAGAGCATTATTAGTAATATTACGAAGTGGAATGGCCCGTTCTCCTTTTCATTGTGGCCTCATGCCTTGCTCTGATGATGAAGTCGAAATTGACGAAGAGGAATTTGTGCAACAACCGCAAGATGACATCGTCGAATGGTTTCGATACTGTCGACAAGGAGAAATAGACGTAGCTACATACTATCACGAACAGAGAAGTCGAGTTATGAGATTCCCATCTGCGAGAAATGGACACATGTTCATGTTGGACGCCACGAAATATAGTCACAAGAAGTGTTAATACAGAATTTCGGATGTATAAATGTTGCGGGCATTCACGCATATACTCCGCGACGAATAAGGACTATGTAGTGGACAGCACGTAGACGTGCATAAACAAGTTGGGATGCTTCTGTGCATATTAGCGCATGGAAAGGGGTACAGACATGTGCAAATGCTATTCAACCATTCTTTGGAAACAGTTGGACATTACGTCAAGCAGGTGCTTGAAGCTGTCGTGGAATTTAGTGAGCGTCTAATAAGACCTGATCTGAACTATAATCACGATGCTGAGCATCACGTACCAAATATCAACAAGCAACCGTTATTTCGAGATTGCATAGGTGCGATTGACGGAACGCACGTCAAAGCTGTAATGTAGCGGGACGAACGAGTTAATTTTATCGAACACAAGGACATCCCAACACAAAATGTTTTTGCCCTATGTGATTTCAATTTATGTTTCACATTTGTACATGCAGTGTGGGCGGGGACCACGCATGATTCACGCATACTAGCACGGGCTATACATAGTCCTGAAATTGATTTCCCGCATCCTGCGCTAGGTAAATATTATCTTGTCGACTCTGGATTCGCATATAGACCTAGGTACATGACTCCGTATAAGGGATCAAATATATTGTATCATTTTCAACAGTTTTACGATGGTCAGACGGGTCGGAGACGGGACTTTCGAAACGCGCGTGAGAAATTTAACTTCGGGCACTCGTCATGCAGGAATGTAATAGAACGTGCATTTGGTGTGCAGAAAAATCGGTGGACAATTCTCGATCATATGCAAGTTACAATTTCAACGTGCAAATTGTCGTTGTCATAGCTGCTATGGGTATACACAACTTCCTTCGATGGGCCGGAGGTGTTGACGAGGCATTCGCAATTGCGGAGACGGATCCAGACGCTGCGGAGGTAGAACTTCCAGATGAATAGGAAGAAGCAGCAGCTGAAATGAATGCACCAGAAATGCAACGCAATGAGTGGGATCATTTTCGAGATTACTTGGCTCAAAGTCAGTAAGCTACATGTTTGTATAAGGACGTCATTATCCTACAATAATTGTGAGCAAAACAATTGAAATTACTATTTCGTGTGTCAGAATTATGTTGACTTGCTATGATTTGTCATAAAGTACTATATTGTGTTGATTAAGCGAAACGATACATTTTTGTGAGCTAAAAATTTATGTGTTTTCAGTATTTCGTTAATATATATTTTTAAGCATTAATAGACGAAAACGAAATCGGTTGAAAAACAAGCAATAAAATGTGACTTGAAGATATTATTGGATTATCAAAAACCAATTCACCCATTTTGGTTTGATATTCTTGAGTGCCCAAATTATTGTAGTGCTTTGAGAAATTGGAAAATGAAAAAAATATTAGCACTTTATTTGGGTTTAATGAGCACGTTGAATTATCAAAAAGATGCAAAATGGTGGTGGGCCATCAAATGAGTCTTTCAAAGGATTCCTTCCAAACTTTGAATTGGTCAAACTTGTAATATTGTTTGAGGTGAGAGAGGTGTGAAATTTGCAAGGATAATATGGTAATTCATCCTCAAATTGTGTAGATAACGTGCATCTTCTTCCCTGTCAGTGGGCCCCACACGATGTAACCGAAAAATTGATTATTCCTTACAAAAATCACTCCCAGACACACCCTAAAGGACCTAGACCCCCTTAATGATTCAAAAATTCGGCATCGGAAAATGAACTCTTAACGCTGTGCAAATTCATGAGGATTTCACTAACAGCAGCCTACCTTTTCCTCTTTCTTTTTGGCTATTGAGATCCATTTCCTCAAGAGAAATATGCATAATAAAACAATGAAAAATGAGGAATAATTATTACCGGGTTTAAGGTCACGATGTATAATTCCATGTGAGTGCAAACATTCCATTGCACGAGCTATATCAAGTGCAAATCCAATTGCAACTCTCATGTCCAGGCACTTGGGCCGCATGTTTAGCAAGTATTTCCGCAACGTCCCACTGAGCAGAAGCTCAGTTACAATAACCATGATAGGTTCCTTGCAAGCTCCGATAAACTGTTCCAAGTAGAGTTATTAAGATAATGGAAGCAAGTGAAATTCAATATGCGCATGTTTGGTAGGTAATACTTAAGGACTTGACATACAATGAACAAGATTTTTAACCTTTTTTTCTTCCATAATACTGTCCATTGCATCAGTGTCGTAGTTGATATACTATAGCAAATATATACATGTGTTCTACGTCTAGATGCATCGTGTAAATGTAAATGCCTATATGGCCAGATTTCACGAATGTGATACAAAAACAGTACATAAATAATAACAGCACAACCTTAACTAGATTCTTGTGTTGAACTTTGGATAACATTGCAACTTCTCTCACAAATCGGTCTTCCCTCTTGGCAACCTCTTCTGGCGTTTCCCCTTTGTGAACTATTTTGATAGCCACGTTATGGTTTTTATATCTGGAAAATGGCAAACAAACTTAAAGATCAGATAATAATATAATACAGACGCGCCAAAGTTCCAGCTCAATAACCTTTTGCCGCATTAATTTTTCATAGCCAAAAAAGTGTCTCGTGTAAACACAGCAACATATACTTCCAAAGGGCATTAATTCTCTCATTTCAGAAACTCTATTTGTACTAATATAGACAAGATATTACTCATTGAATCATATCAATTAATCATTACAGTTTATTGGGCACAAATCATGGCATGACTAACTCCTTGAAATCCTTAAATTAATACATTACAAAGTTCAAAATACAAACACATGATACACAAGAATTTGTATCTGATCTTCTCTTTCTTCCATTCCTAGTGTTTTTTTAGGAAGAAGAATAAAGTCAAATTAATACATTACAAAGTTCAAAATACAAACACATGATACACAAGAATTTGTGTCTGATCTTCTCTTTCTTCCATTCCTAGTGTTTTTTTAGGAAGAAGAATAAAGTCAACTTACTTTCCCTCATAAACCTTGGCATGAGCTCCTTCTCCAATCTTCGGCCCGACGAAAAGAAGATTCGGATCAACCAACCACTTCGGGTCAAAATTGAACTCTGCACCCGAATAAAACCCATTCCCAGATCCCATTTTTCAACAAACCCTCAATACTCAATCCAAGATCAAACTTTTATAATAGTTCTTTACACATTTGAAGTAAATCCCATATGAAAATATACTCAATAAACAAATACATACAGCAAAATCCCAAAACCCATATCCCAAATTCATGCACTGAAATCCCTACATATATAAATGTTTAAAAAACCCACATGATTTCAGAGATTCCCACAACCAACAAATCAATGGTTATTGGAAACAGAAGAAGAGCATTAAACAATCGAGAAACACAATCTTGAATGGATTTTCAAATACAAAAAATGAATTCGAAGTATGAAGGAGGTGGGGGTGGGGGTGGGGGTGGGGTGGGGGGGGTTCATGTTAAAGGTTGTCAAAGATTTGAACAATAAAAATTAGATGGAGCGCTTCATCAAATTGATCAGGTCAAGTAGGAACAAGATTCATGTCCACCAACCTGTTGTGAAATCCTTAGTTTGTTTGAGCTTTTCTCACCGCGGGTAACACGCTCAAATTTGTGTACAATTTTTGTGTACTTCGTGATCTACAGAGATAAAGCCGCAGAAGGAATTGAAGTCTGTGTCAGAAAAACAGTAGGGGGCTAAGCTAATTATTTTGTTATTTTTCACTTATTTCAATAATAAGTGATTACTCATTGGAGTACACAAGGGGACAAGCTCGGTAGAAGGGAAAGAACACAACATGGCTCCATTGGAAAAAGATATGGTTTTTATTTTCTTGTTTTTTATATGAAATCACACATAATTATTTTTGGATTTTGTTACTTGTACGTAACAAATGTACCAATTATCGAAAATGATGTGGAAGGAAAAAATTGGATGAAAACATTGATTGTGTTTTAGACTGATAAATGAGAGAGTGTCGTATAACATTATGTAATCTATATAAATTTTAATGTACATATAATGTCGTTGTTTTTTAAGTTAGAAATTAAAAAAATATATATTAAACTTGCACATGGAAATGGATCCTCATACAGGGGACAAGCCCAACAAGAGACGACGATCCCACCGGTTTTTGTTCCATATTTTTGAGTTTTCTTTCATTATTTTTCAAAAAAGAAAACCCTCTTTTTAAAAAAAAAAAAAACCAAGCGAATTTACATGTGTGATCAATAATATGGAGCTCATTCGTATTTACTTGTAATAAGTCAAAAAAATATCAATATTTTTCTACTTTTCTAAGTTCTTGAAAAGATAAATCTCTTTTTCTAGTTTTGTGGCTCGATTCGTTGTATTGACAGAGGGATGACATGTTTGTTTCGATACAATAAAAATCAAATTGTATGGTTGATGTCCACATTGAGATGGTTGGGATTCTGTTGACAAAAATCTCCATCTTTTTAAGTTGATTCCTTTGATTTAATTAAAATATTGTGTTTATTCGTGTGTACAAATTATTGAATTAATAATTGTAATGTTTGACTCTATAGTCCCAAGTCCTAACCCATAATAGTTAGTAGCTTTTCTTTCTTTCTTACACAATTTCTTCTCATAAATTCAAAATAACCCACAATAGTTAGTAGCTTATAGTCTAGAAATAATGAAAATATTGTGTTCAACTGTGCCTGGAAGGACTTCTGCCAAGTCTAAAGAGCAATTTTTGTATATATATATATATAAACTTTTTGAATTAAAATAATGGATATTTAATTAAAGTTAAAAAATATGCCTGTATAGTAAAATTAAGTTGTTTCACAGTGTTTTGAGGTTTTACTAGGCATTGCTTTTGAGAAGTTAAAAGAAGATTTTGAGATCTAAATGTTGTTTTAGATATATAATCCTTGCAAATCTTTGAAGAACCTTTTTATTACATGACACCAAGTCTACATTTTTTAATGGTTAATTTTACCAACGGTCACTGAACTTACTTAAAAATTACAAAACGGTCACTGAAGTTTCACGAGCTTTCACAAACGATCACAGAGCTTACTATTAGGATTGTTATGATGTTAATTCAAACTTAAAGGACCAAAACACGTAGACATAGAAGCGTGAGGACTTTAAGTGCAATTTTTTTGCTGTTAAGGCCCAAACCCAAACAAAATCTTCACAATCACCGATCAAAAAATCCTAGAAAAATAATGGCTGGAATTTGGGAGAAAATCATGCCCTAACCATCCAATAAATTGCTCCCAATCCGTAGGTGAGCTTCCAATCAAGAACCGAAAATTGCTCGTAATTTTTCTACGAAAATCGAAGAATGGGGACCACAATCTTCTAAAATTTATTCGACATGTCAGATGTGGAAGACCAAGATGAAGGTTAGCACTTACAGTTCTGGAACCAGGCGCAACTTGTGTGTTCGTGCTGAGTCTATGTATATAGTTGTCATTTGTGTCTAATGTTTGTTTGAGTTCATCACAGGACATATTATGAGCTATGTGTAGGTTCTCAATATGCAAGTAGAGAAAGAATAACTTTGTATATGATTCCGTTGCATTAAATAATGAAAAGAATAAAATGAATGCGTATGCGTATTTTATTCTCACTTGTAAATTATTAAAAATGTTGTTATTTTAGATGATGTCTCTGCATTTAGCATATAATTTGTTATGGTAATCGGCTTTGACCAAATTATCAGAATCAGCAAACCAAAATAATGGATGATGCATCTGAGTGTAGTGTGAATTCCCTTCTGACTGCTACATCCAATTAAGGTGTTATGTTGTGAAGTTGCAAAACTCAACATCCTATGGCCATCTTATCCACCATTAACAGGACATTCACTTCTGCCATGTAAATTGTTGGCATTGAGACTGTATGGTCGCATAAATTTATTCAACATGTCTGTGCAAGCAGACCCCCAACAAAACTGAAATTGCAAAGAAGGCTCCCGTCCCCAACATTGACTGTTAACAGATTTGCAAATAATCTTAATTTGTTAATTGCCCATTATTTCAATTTGTCATGTTACAGTAGACAAACAAAATTGAACAAACTCAAACAGGAATATACCCCCATCATCATCACTCTATTACCATCAAAATAAATTCAAATAACAACCATCACCCCAGGCCCATCGCAAACAAAGGTCACTGGTTTGATATTAATTAAGCAAGATCATGCCTCAGAAACAAAACTTTCACAACAAAAGTAGACAACGTTTGTTAGAAAGACCGAAATTCAACGTATTTATAGCCAATTTGCCATTAATTCCGACAACCCGCTCTATCGAGGAAAAATGCATATCTTTATATGCGCGCAAACACATATAGATTGCAGGGAAAAAGAAAAAAAAAAAGAAGAAGAAGATATATACACCTACAGACAGACAGTATATGCGGGGAGGAGGAGAAGAAGAACGAGGGCAGGGGCGAAAACTGATTACACAGTGGGCAGATTTAATGCGTGAGAAATTAATATTTTGTTCAAGGATTCTAATATTAGCACGAGGCTCTGATACTAATTGTTGTACTTATTTCAATGATCACGTTAAGAATAAGAATCACATATATTAATTTATGGTTCGAAATTCATATATGCGGAAAATATTATTATAAATATTACCAGCTAAATCTTTTTTCCTTAACTATTATATAGGAAATCATAAAGTTGGCCTATTACCGACTCTAACCCTAATTAGAGTTTACATAATTTCGGCCCACATAATAGAATTACCACATTATAATAATAAGGGAAGATTACATATTCAATAGTATAAGTTTAGTCAATTTCAAAAATAAGAACACAAGTTT